TTGTTTTCCCCCTAATAATCACGTGGAATATTCCAAACATTTTAATTGTTCGTATATTATTTACTATTTTTCCATATATTCATAATTACTTGATAACAAAAACACTGTGTTTAATTTTGCACATCAATATACTAACATTAAAGAATGTAAGTACAGAATTCCTGTTCTTTTCAGAATTGGATTTTGTGTTTTATGGGGTAAAGAGAAAATTATGTGTCTCTGCATTCATCTGGGTCAATCTACACGGTTCCAACAGGAAAAGGAACAATCACAACATCCATATTTTCTAAATAAAGACAAACTTTCCTACAGCCTTTGCTAACAAAATGATGCATATATTTAAACATCCATGCTGTCTAAATGAAAAGTGCAGTGGACAAAATTCTTTCAGATAGTTCTGGGGCGAACATCTTATTCATTATCATTAATAACCTACAATTATTAATAATCATTCAGCATAAAATGAATATTTACATGTACTAACATCTACATTAAATAGATTACTTATTATTAAAGTAGTTATTTATCTCTGATTTCAGTGAAGATTCCCAGATGACTTGCAGATACATAAGAGACCAGGAAATGGGATCTATCCGATTTTACATCATTGCAATAGATCTTATGATCCTGGGTTTAACTTCCTCTCCTTCTTGGACACAAGATTCCCTTTTTTCACTAAAAAGCTTCCAGAAAACAAACCTGTATTTATTCCTCTCTGTTTCACTTTCTGCTGCATTTTTTCTTCCTGTTGAAAGTTGCTCCTGTCACTACATGCATGCAGGGAGGGGGAGGTTGCTGCAATGTCAACGACTTTGTGCAATAACCGAGTGACTCAGATTAAGTTTTGAATTTCAACATTTTAACTGAACTTTACAGCCAAAAATACAACCAACAACATGTAGCAAAGCAAATATCAGATAGATGTCTGTATATAATTCTATATAACTGAATTTGAATGACTTTTACATCAAGATAACAGTGATTATTAACTGCTCCTGTATGAATTAGATCAATTAAATCCAGACTAATAGCTAATTAAGAAAAGTCACACATTATTGTGACCCTTTGAAATAGTTGCTCAGTCGGTGAAAAGTTTTATTTAACAGTATTGAAGCATATAAATCATGCTTTACCCTGCTCAATACTTAATCTATTTAATTTAAAATAACCAAAATCAAAAATGGAGCAATTAGAACAGAGGTTTATTTACTTTAATATTTATATGACATAAAAACCTACCTGCTGTAAAACTTTATCCACCTAGTTTTCCTGTCAGTGGGATTTTCTCTGATTTCCAAAGAATGTAAATAAAGTAAAAGCCAATAAAAAGTCAGACTTACAACCTCCACGTCCCGTGAGTAAATATCCAGCTGCTCTCCCTGCAGGGGCCCACCACAGGACGCTGAGAGCCCCTCCGGGCCCCTGCGGTGCGGTGCGCCTCTTGCTGCCCTACAGCAGCGCGCGCAGCGCGGGGCAGATCCTCCGACACATGCCGCTCTGTCTCCGACCCACCAAGCCTCACTTCTCATTGACTGCGTCCGTCAGCTTTGACGGAACACAGAGAGAACAACGTGACTCTGCTTCTCACACATGACCTGCTGCCTGTTTACACTCAGATCAGCTGATCCGCGCCAGGCGGAAATCAGCTGGTGCAGCCCTTCAAAATAAAAGAAATGTCATTCAAAAGCTAGACAACCGTGAATCGAAGTCGCTAATAATATATTTATTTTTGGAAAAGGTAAACTCTAAGTACAGTATACTCTGTGTAAATGCTGTTTTTTATCCAAAAGGGGATGGTAGTTACCGGAAGTCAGCACAGATCCTCCCCGTGTGGAGCCGCTTTACCCCGGAAGTAGTTCTCCCAGGATGCTTTCCTCTCACCAAGGGGATCCCTGCCTGTAATGTGGCTTAAACACTAAATAACTGCTGTTCCTAGAATGATTTGTTCAATAAGATTCATTCATGGCAGATAGTATACATAACGAGGATGATGAAGATCTGCAATCTCAGGTAAGTTTCTTTTGATTCCTTTCAAGTTTATATAGATTCCTTTCAGGTTATAGGCAAGGCAAATTTATTTGTATAGCACAATTCAGTACAAAGACAATGCAAAGTGCTTTACATTATTAAAATATAGGAAAATAAAACAGAATCAAAGCAAGTAGGGAAAAAAATGCAGAAACCAAAAAATTTAAAACAGTTGGACTAAAGAAAATAAAAACGTTTAACTAATGATGTTTCAGTTGAACTGTTTAACTAGAACAGTGGAAGGCAATCCT